CAAAGTATCTTATCCTAAATTACCCTAAAAGCTATGCATTGGGGTCTTTTACTACTAGACTAGAAGAGCTCACCTCACCTCACCCCGACAAAAATTTTTTTTTTAAATTGTTCAATTGTTACTAAGAATCAACTTACATCTCTCATAAGATGGATATCCGTCTTAAGTTTGAATCCTGGAAGATATGATATAAAGTCGTGAGAAGTATAGGCATATGTTCTCTCAAAACGAACAATACATATGAGTTAATACTTGGGCATATGGTCAGGATCGTTACATTATTTGAAAAACATCATAATTTGATCTCTTGAGACACCGTATCATATGGTTCCTTAGACAGGGTGTATCACTATTACTAGATCCACTTGGTTTCTTATTGCAATTGAAACAAACAGTTTAGCATGTATCTGCCTTTTAACTGTCTTCCAAAGTGATTCCAATTAACATTATGTCAAATCTCTTTGGTTTCTTGGCAGGGAAATCGTCCAAGATTTCCATGAATTGGAATTAACACTAGCACATTATCTTTATTTGTTGAATAAAGATAATAAATTGTTGAAAGATCAAAGTTGAACATCCAAATCATATATTTATTTGTCGAAAAATGATGCTCGAGTCAATGAGAAATTGGAGTTCATGTCCTCTTGTGGCCATGTAGCACGCATCAAATTTAGATGAAGGAGGTAAAAACCAGTAGGGTTGGTAGTCAATGGAGAGAGCTAAAAGGGCCAAACTAAGTTTAAAATAGAGCATTTTGGTATTAAGCTCCACTTTGGTTTATATAAAAATTAGATTTTTAGTAAATTTTGATAAAAGTTGATAGAATATGTAGTTCAAAAGTGATGAATCATATTAAATGTGTAGTTAAAATTAATTATGGACTTTGACTTATATTTTAATCAACTTTTTTAATTGACCAAGCATGAACTAAGTTTAAATCAGGCCCTGTTTGATAGGGCAGGTTTTTCATGGAAGATGGAAAACTTTTTGCTATTTTCTATTTTTTAGAGTGTTTAATAGGAAAACTTTTCCATATTTTCTTGGTTTGCCACATTTTCTTGCTTTTTTAGGTAAATCAATACCTACAACTTTGGTGAGAATTGGTTTTCTAGGCAGCTTTTTTTTTTTTTGCTATGGAAACAAATTATATTTCCAATTGTAACAAATTATATCTCTTTAATAGACAATTTCCATGAAAAATAAAGTCAAACGAATACTAAAATTTCAATATTTTTCAGGTGAAAAATTATATCAATCAAACACAATTAATTGACAATTCTCAGTAAAACAAGTTCTACACAATTCAATTTCATAGAATTCATTTTCTTTACACCCAAATTTCATTCTTGCAATTAAACGGACCCTTAATGCTTTTGTATGTCGAATATAAGTATCTAAATTTTAGGTTGAGTATTTTTTATTGAATTATATCGTTTTTGATTCAAACAATTTGAGAACCATCGAGAGATGATAGATATGTAGTTTGCTCCTGATAACAAGCAACTATAATTTGTGTAAAAGATAAATATATAACCTTTGAAATTGTGTGGTCAATGAATTAATTTTTTTTAGTTTAATGCATTTTTTTATTATTTGTGAATTTACATAGAGATATAAGAAATATTACTTCATATCGCATTGAATAATTTAAGATCACTCCACATTTTACTGGGAATGATTATTGTCATTAACTTGGTGAAAGGTGAGTTCTAGTGTTTTAATCAATTCAATTTTTCCCAAATGATTCATATTATCTTATTTTTTATTGTTATTTATTTAAGTTTAGTTTAAAGACGCTCAAAAATTGATTTGTCAAGTAAAATTAAAATTAGTACAATTTAACCAATAAGTTAAATTGTCTTCATGAGTGTTGGGTTATTATGCCAAAATAACATATCGATGACAAAAACATCAAAACCAAGCACACACGAAAGCAGTAAAAACATTATCAAATGTTTACCCAGTTCGACGAAACCTAATCTGGACGACTCATAAGTAAAAGTCTGTCACTAGTGCAAGAAAACTATCAAGAAAGAGTACAAGTATGAACAACCCAAGTCAGAAACTTCTTCAACACAAATCTAACAAGATCTCCTCAAATACCATAATCTATATCAAGAACACCAAACCCTCCAACCTGAATATCTACATATTTACCGACCAAAATAACATGGCCTAAAACACCATAAAGCCAAGAGATTAGATCCCAGTCATTGATGAAGAATAGATGGTTCAGATGCTTCCTCAACTAGCACAATCCAAGTGATGTACACAAGGCCAATTGGGGATTGCCACTTAAGGCCATCCACATCCAACTCAGCAGCACATCAATTACCAGTTTGCCCTTAGTAAAGTGCGGTTTGCAGAAACACATTTTTTACAATCTTCACCTTAGTTCTCAAATCACACTCTCTAGTTGCTTGCTTACACATGACAGTAAATTACCCTACATAATCGCCCAAACACCAACAAAAGATTAACCAGTGTCAATATGGAAGAGAGGTAAACATGATCTGAATTAAGTCACAAGCAGTATTTTAGTGCCCATATCAGATTAATTAACATCAGTATGAATTTTTTCAAGAATAAGATCACCAGATGATACCTTTTTCCCTTATGAAATGGTACTTCACCTCAATGTGTTTAGACCTTTCGTGATAAACTGGATTCTTACTCATAAGTAAAGCACTTTGACTATGAGAAAGAATAACAGGTGATTCATGCAAAAAATTCAATTCACTTAAAATTCCTTTTAACATGGGTAAGAGGCAAGTGGATTCGATTCAGCACGACAGTGATTGACGATATTACGAGCTAAACCACACTGATATAGAGCCACTATCTACTAAGCTCGATATGGCATGAGACGATACTTGGTCTCAATTCATTTTATTACTTGTTAACGAAACGTACACTTACGGTAATTTTAATTCGAAACATATTTTCGTGAACACATATGAAAAAATATTTTTTAAAACTTTCTAAAAAACTCAAGATCTAAACAGATCCAGAAAAATACACAAAATATTACCACTCTCAGATATCGAAAATTTCACATCAAGAAGCCTTAAAAGAGGCTCCGATACTAGATTTGTTGGATTATTACGCCAAAATAACATATTGATGACAAAAACATCAAAACCAAGCATGCACGAAAGCCGTACAAACATGATAAAATGTTCACCCAGTTCGACCAAGTCTAATCTAGGGAATTCAAAGGTTAAAGTCCATCACTAGTGCAAGAAAACTATTAAGAGAGTACAATTATGAACAACCCAAGTTAGAACACTCATTCGACATAGATCTAACAAGATCTCAACAAATACCATAATAATCTATATCAAGAACACCAAACCCTCCAACCTGAATATCTAGAGATTTACTGGCCAAAATAACATGGCCTAAAACACATAGCAGGTCGATTTTCTTAGGGTTACAACACTAGTTTAACAACAATACGGATTAAGGGTAGAAAATCGATGAAGAAGAAGAAGAATAACCAAAAGACTCATACATGAGAAAGGAAAAGACGAACTCAAGAGAAATATAAACAGTCAAAATCATCTCAACTGATAGACTCTCTCCCATCATAAAGCCTAGAGATTAGATCCCGGCTATTGATGGAGAATAGAAAATCTAAATTGCTCCTCAACTAGCACAATCCAAGTGATGTACACAAGGACAATTGGGGCTTGCCAAGCCTTCCACATCAACTAGGCACCGCATCAATTACTAGTTTGCCCTTAGTAAAGTGTGGTTCGCAGAAACACGTTTCTTATAGTGAGAATCATATATATTCAATTTAATCACTTTACTACTTATTCAATAATTGATATTTTTACTTACAACCCATAGCATAGTTTAAATTTAGCCTTTTGTATAGATACTAGCCTTTAATTTATGGCAGTACTAGTTATTAGTTGAATGATACTGCACTAGCTTATAAGAAGTTAAGTGCTTATTAGGTATAGCTTAAAGTTATTAAAAAGTTTATGTAACACAATTCATAATAATTATTAAACAACCTCTAATGTTTAGGCCATTTTCGGCACTGTTTTTCTAAAACTCTTTTTTCTCCAAACGTATTTTCAAAAGTGCATTCTTGAAATAAAATAAATTTTCACGCGGAACCATAATTTTTGTTTTGATCACATATTCTTCGAAAAAGAACATTTCCCACTAAATTTATTCTGAAAAATATACATCAAACACTTTCTGAGGTTACTAGCTTGAAATTATGGGATGTCCACAAAACCAATCGAAATACATGTCCTTCTAACTTGCTCTCCCTCTATTAAAAGAAAAGAAAAGAAATAGATAAGAATTTTTTTGAAAAAAAACAAGAAAAAGCATTTCTATATTTGACTTATGTTTATAAACTATTTATAAACATTTATGTCATTTTTTATTTACACATTTTGATAACTTAACAATATTATTAAATTTTTAATCACTCATTTCAATTTATTTATAATTTAAATGGTTTATAAACACTTCTCAAATATGCTTTCCTATGTTCATAAACCCTCAAATCAAATTTTTTTTCATACATTTCGATAAAATTCACAGGTAATATTCACTTATTTATCGCTCATTTTTATTTATTTATAATTTGAGCGGTTTATAAATGCTTCTCATAGGCTCGCTATTTAAGTTCATTAAATAAATAAAAGTGAGTGAAAATGAATTAATGATACCTATAAATTCATAAAAATGTGAATAAAAAATACAAATTTTTTGGGAACAATTTATAAACCAAGCCAAACGAGTCATCTCAACGAGTCGACTCCTTAAGGACTCATGAATAACTCGTGGCTCACCGCCTTTCTATTTTCTCAATCTTCAGTAGCTAATAAATATCTTCATATAGCCACGCTGTCGATTTAAAACCCTCTTGTCCGCCGCCCCACACCGGGGATTCCCTATTCTGCTATCTATATACATAGATTTTACAACATCAGCTCCTTGGAAGATCGAGATTGGAGGTGTATCGAGGTAGGATGAAGATTCAGTGCAACGCTTGTGAGGTAGCGGAGGCGGTTGTACTGTGCTGCGCCGACGAGGCGGCGTTGTGCCGGGATTGTGATCAGAAAGTTCACGCCGCCAACAAGCTCGCAAGAAAGCACCAGAGGGTTCTTCTCACTAACTCCGCCAATGAATTGCCCAAGTGTGACATCTGTCAGGTATGAGCTCGGTACGAGTGTTTTCGTATTTTCTTTAGGATCTGCTTGAGAGGTTTTTTTTTTATGTTATTAATCCTGCGTTTGATAATTTTTGGATGGCATAGTTTACGAAAAATTTAAAAAAATCCATGCTTGATCAGGGCTGAAGTAATAAAGTAAAAATAATACTAATATAATAAGATAAAAATTAAGTAAAGCGTACTTATAACTTGAAAATTTAATTATAAGTAAATATTTCACTTTTTAAGTTAAAATTAACTTATATGTAAAACTATTATTTATAATTAACATATCGCTTATAAGTAAAAAATTATTACATGAAAAAAATTATAATTTTATTCTTTTAACGATCTTTTAGAATTGCCTAGAGGATTAACTCTGAATCTTGGGTTGAACTTTTGAATTATCGCCACTAAAAATCACTCAAAATTGGACCCCTCATAAACGTTGAAAACTGGTAATTTGAAAAGGCTCCATAAAGGGTACCCTAAAGCTCTCAAGTAGGCCTTAGTTAATTTAGTTAACCGAAAAAGGTTTTCAAGGTTGAGAATTTATATATTTTTTATTTTCAAGGAAAGGTCTTTCAGTTTTTTTCATGTCATTGGATACCATATGTGTGGGCATTCAATTTGAGCTTCACCAGCTTAATCTTGTTCTATTGTGGTAATATTTTTAGACTTAACCCATAAGTCTAATTTCGCTAATTAAGGATTTGATATCCTGCCTACATTTGTGCAGGAAACATTTGGTTATTTCTTTTGTCTAGAGGATCGAGCTTTACTTTGCAGGAAGTGTGATGTTGCTATACACACAGTAAACCCCTTGGTGTCTGCTCACAAAAGGTTTTTACTTACCGGAGTTAAAGTAGGCCTTGAAGCTGCAGAACCTGGTCCATCTATGTCCTTGGGGAATTCCCACTGTAATGAGAAAACGTCAGAAACAGAGAGACGGACAACCCATGTGTCATCAACAGGTCAGTTTGTCAAAGCTTTACCTCTCCAAGCCAATGGTGGTGATGGTTTTGTATCATCAAAGTTATCTTCTGCTGGAGGCTCGGCAACTGGAGTTTCGCAATGGCAGTTAGATGATTTTCTTTGTCCTGGTGATTTCAATCAGAACTATAATTTCATGGATAATGGCTCATCCAAGGTATGATTTGAGTTGTAAATTCCATCAATTTATGTTGGTCATCTTCTAATTTTTCATTGTCCTTTGATTTTATCTTGCAAATATTCCATAAACACAAAGTGCAGGCCTTGGTGTGCACAGTAATCTTCAAATTTCTGAAGATTGTATTTATCCCCACGCCTAACTAAGATTTGGATTTTTATTTTTTTTGAAACATAAATCAAGCTGTCATCAAAAGATTCGAACTTTCAGTAGAAATAACCCATAAAATAGATTAGCAATCAAATGCTTTAGTCCACTCAGCCATCTCCCACATTGGAAAAATTAATTACTTCATTACACTTGCACATAATGTATGGACTTTTCCATCATTCCATCATATGGGGATATATACAAATCTGGAATTTCCTTTATCTGAAGAAAGGGCCGAACTAGCCTACAGAAATAGGAAAATGAAAAGAAACAAATGTCTCAGTGAAACAATTTCAAGATACGGTTGAAGTCCTCTCCCTCCATCCCGCTCCCCTACCAAAAGGGAAAAAATGAAAAAGAAACAAAGAAAATGCATGCCACCCTTCCCCGTGGATTTGTGCCCATGCACTTGCACGTGTTGTTGAATTTCATATGAAGCTGCATTTACTCCTAAATTCCATGATTTTGATTTTCAGTTCGAGGTAGGTTTGGAAAGTGGAAATATACATTTAGGTCGTGTATATGGTTTGATTTTTAAGTATCACTTCTTCGAGTTAGTGATGGCGCTGGACTGGTTAAGGATTTTGATCGGTGATAATTAGATGGTTTTGTCTAGTGTGGACTTGATTGGGCACTAAATCTTGATGCTGTGGTAGGAAGACCTAGATAATACGCTGAATACAGAGTCAATTTTCTTTTGGACAATACCAGTCACGACCATTCAAATTTGAGATATGGAGTTAGTAAAATACTTTTTGAGTTGAAGTAAAGAGTGGAGAATGAACAACCAATAATTGTGACGAATTATTGATATACTGCTGATTCATTGGCATATTCCCTTCTGTGGAACAATATTTTCTATACTAAATTACTAATCAAGTTTTGAAGCAGCATTAAATACTTCAATTGCAAATTGTTTTGTGACTTTGATCTTGAGATGGCAGTAGCGCGGCACCCACATTAATCTGTCTTCTATTTTGATAATCCTATCAGGCAGATAGTGGGAAGCAAGGATCAGATTGCTCCTCAAGTTTTCAACCTGCAGTTGGAGACTTGGATGACGATGAGTGTTTAGGACAGGTGCCAGATGCATTTTTTATGGTGCCACAAGTCCTTTCTCCACCTACATTATCGGGGCTTCACTGGTCTAAAACCTACCAGAACCCACCTGATTCTGCTGTATTTGTGCCTGATATAAGTTCGTCTCCCTTGCGAAACTTCCAACACTATCCTCAACTGCATGGGACTAACTCAAAACGGAGAAGGCAATTCTGATACATGGTCCAAGCTTTTACCCTAGATGTAAGAGGATCACATCACATTACCTGCACAATGGATAAGATACATGCCGTCCTATTAGCCTAGGTCCCATTTTTATCGAGCTTGATTTGTTTGAGCAGTTAGCTGTGGGGGAACATTTACTTCTCTCGTATATGTAGGTTTGTTTTATTAACTAGTGTTCCATTTGTCATTCTCTCGTATGTAGGTTTGTTTAGTTGTGCTAGTTTTTCACCGTCATCAAAACGAAGCAAATGATGTAGTTTTTCTTAATCTTTGATACTTAAAGTTGGATGAAGAGTTACTATATTGTGAATTCTTAGCATGCATTTCTAAATTAACCGAATTATCTTTTTCAATTTTCTGTCAACTGGAGCATACTGAAGATTATCATCCTATGATGAAAATGTAACCCTTTATTGCTTGTATGGGACGTACTACTCTCGAACAGAACAGAAGAAAAGTTTGGGGTTTCAAGTTATGGAATTTACAGACGAAGATATCGATGTCACAGACGTATGCATTTCATTTTCTGTCTGGAAGAGCGTCTCAAATTTGTGCTGATGGAAAACGTGCTGTCTGGAACAGCTTCTCAAATTCGAAAACGGAGAATCTGAGAATGAGTTGCACATCTGTAGCCTATGCTCTTCCCTTTTCCTTACTGTCAACATTTATAGATTCTTCAG